CTCCAGGTGACGAGTGATTCTCGCGCTCAAAATGGATGTCAGTGTCTTATATATGGTGGGTAGACACGTAATGGGGCGGTATTTGCTCGGGTCTGTGGTAACCTGGTCTTTAGGAACCAAATGAGTGATCCCAGTAGTGAAGAGGCTAGGGAGCGACTTCTGGTTGAGAGCCTCTTGAAACTGACGGGCGAGCACAGCGTGACACACCATGAACCCCTTCAGCCAGTAGTGATGCAGTCCGTCGAGTCCCGGACTTTTCCAGTTCGGGGCTCTACGGACCGCCTCAGCTACGTCATCCGGCGTTATGATGACGGGGTCCATGGGCGTAATACTCGCACACTGACTCGCCACAACTTCCGTCCAAGGGCCCTCGCTGTGGTTTACGGGCTCTGACCACAGGCCACGCCAAAATGCGACAGTGTTAGCCTGATCCGGTCCTGGGCCCGCTCCACATACCTCTGGTCGCTCCAATGATTTGTAGAGCCTCTTCTGATCACTCTGGAAGAGACGATTCTGGTTGAACCGCCTTGACCTCTCGGTAAATCGGCGAATCCGCTTCCCCCAAGCGGCAATCTTTTGCTTCAGGTCGTCTATGCGCTCCGTTAGTTTCTGCGTGATATCCGGCTGGGACAAACTGATATTTGACCCAGCAAATGCCATTCTAACGGTGCGTACAACCCTCGGTCTATTATTACCCGACCTGAAGCTTATCAGTCTGCCGATAAGGGCCCTTGCCTTTGCGATACGGTCCTCAATTCTTTTTCTCCAGGCTGGGATGGCGCTACTTTGTTTAGTAGCGCGTCCAGCCATGGGAAGTTTGGCGCCAATAATACGGCAAGCTGCCACTGCGGCGCCAAAAAGAACTGAGTCCGTCTCGCAAAGGTCCCGGCTGGCTTCCAAATAGGTTACCAGCATTGGGTTAAGAGCCCTCACGACAGCCCGATTTCGCTTGCTTAGGGGTATGCGGGGGAAGTCGCGGTCGATTTTCGAGAGGCATGCTGCGCGTTTCTAAAATCGCCTCTTCCAATATACTCCTCATTTGCTCTAGTTCGTGGGAGACCATTTCATCATTCATCATTTATTATTATTATGTGGGGTATCTATATAGTTTTCTCATCTGGTTGGGTTCTATAAATATATAATTATAAATGAAAATGAAAAGATAAATATACATAAATATCAATAACATAAAATAAATATAAAAATACATAAATAAATAAAAGCCCAACCAGATGGAGGCCCTCGGCAGGGGAGACCAAACGGCCGAGGGTTAGGGGGAAAGGGAAAGAAACCGGCGGACGATGCGGGCGGTATCGAGGAGCACCGCCTTCTGCATTTGAGCCCGGAGCGGTCCGCCACGTAGTCCCAGTCGCCTCAGATGACCCGAGAGGCTGACTGGGATTAGCCCGTTTGCAGAGACGACTACAGGAATAATTTCGGTCGGCAGACCACCCCACATGTCGGTCACCTCGTGAGCCAGGTCCAGATATTTTGTTTGCTTGTCTGTTTCGGCTTTCACGAGGTTCTCGTCATACGGAATGGTAATGTCGACCAAAAATATCCTTGACTGTGCCCGGTCCATCAGCACAATATCAGGCTTATTCGCAAGAATAGTCCTGTCTGTGATGATGGCCCGGTCCCAATAGAGCCTGGCGCGATCATTTTCGAGCACGGCTTCCGGCAAGTACTTGTAATACGGCAATTTCCGATCCACGAGACCGTATTTCAGAGCGAGCTCCTGGTGAAGAATTCTGGCTACTAGGTTGTGCCTGTGCAAGTACTCAGAGTTAGAAAGCGCCGAACAACCGGAGATGACATGCCTAAGTGACTCACCGGGATGGCGACAAGCTCGACAGATGTCCACGGTGCCATCCTTTAGGATGTATCTCCGATAGTTGTTGGTCTTAATAACCTGATCCTGTATTGCACAGACAAAACCCTCGGTTTCCCCCGAAGAGATCACCAAAGCGTAGCCAGTGGAGGGAGGCTACTGTGTCTACGAAAGGCTCATGTAGAGCCTTGTAGAACCTCCCGTGGAGCTCCTTCTCCTTCCATACGTTCTCCCGGTCGGAAATTGTCTGCACTGCCGGGTCTTGCCATTGCTCGTTGGCTAAGGATAGAGGGGTAAGTCCTTTATCACTAGAAATGACGTCCTTATAGAATGGATCATCCGATCTCGCCAGGAAGTAATTACGGAGGCTGCACACTTCGCGATTATGCATGGTGAGCGCGCTCAAGAAGCCACGCCCACCATGCTTTCGCGGCAAGTACAGCCTCATTACCGACGATCTCGGATGATGCATCCTGTGGGACGTCATGGTAGTGCGGACTTTTCTATCCAGGGCGTTAAGTTCAGTCTGAGTCCACCTGAGTATGCCAAAGGTATACATGAGGACAGGCATGACCCAGCCGTTATATGCGTGTGTCTTATTCACACCGGACAAAAGGCTGTTAAGCACTTTGGTCAAGCGTGCATAAAACACGTCGCAAACTGACTGTTTCATACCAGCCTCATCGATACCGATGTTCTGTGACATACCCAGGTATCGGTATGTTTCAGCCTCGGAAAGGGTCCTTAAGTTGACGGGCATAGATAAGTCTATGCCCTCAGAGTTAGCAACCCTCCCCCTTTCAACATGGAGGACCGCACACTTATCCGTTCCCAGCTCCATTCCAATAGAATTGCTAAATTCACAAGTGATGTTTAGCAATTCCATAAGATGGGAGCGACTGGAGGCGAATAACTTGAGGTCATCCATATAGAAAAGGTGGGTCACTTTTGTACCTCCTTTCCGAAGCTGAAATCCCCTCCCGGAGCCCTCCAGTAAAGTACTGAGAGGGTTCAGGGAGAGGCAAAACCAGATTGGACTCAGACAATCGCCCTGGAAGATACCCCTTCTTATCCTTATGTGGTTCTCCGCAGCCATCATCCGCTCGCCCAGATAGCAAAGGATCGTACTCCATTGCCCCATACACTGCTCGAGGAAGTCTCCAACTGTACAGTCAATTTTGTACAGCTGGAGGACTCTCTTTAGCCATGTATGGGGCACCGAGTCGAATGCCTTTCTGTAGTCTATCCAGGCGGCGGAGAAATTCCGACGGTTGCGTTTCACCACTTTGCCAATGACCGCGTCAATGAGGAGTGGTTCCTTGGTTCCACGACCACCGCCCCGGCATCCATTTTGAGCGCGTGACATCACCTGATTTAGCTCCAGGTGACGAGTGATTCTCGCGCTCAAAATGGATGTCAGTGTCTTATATATGGTGGGTAGACACGTGATGGGGCGGTATTTGCTCGGGTCTGTGGTATCCTGATCTTTAGGAACCAAATGAGTGATCCCAGTAGTGAAGAGGCTCGGGAGCGACTTCTGATCGAGAGCCTCTTGAAACTGTCGGGCGAGCACAGCGTGACACACTACGAACCCCTTCAGCCAGTAATGATGCAGCCCGTCGAGCCCCGGACTTTTCCAGTTCGGGGCCCTACGGACCGCCTCAGCCACGTCTTCAGGCGTTATGGTGACGGGGTCCATAGGCGTAACACTTGCACTCTGGCTCGCCACAACTTCCATCCAAGGGCCCTCGCTGTGGTTTACGGGCTCTGACCACAGGCCACGCCAAAATGCGACAGTGTCAGCCTGATCCGGTCCTGGGCCCGCTCCACATACCTTTGGTCGCTCCAATGTTTTATAGAGCCTCTTCTGATCACTCTGGAAGAGACGATTCTGGTTGAACCGCCTTGACCTCTCGCTAAATCGTCGAATCCGCTTCCCCCAAGCAGCGATTTTTTGCTTCAGGTCATCTATGCGCTCCGTTAGTTTTTGCGTGATATCCGGCTGGAACAAACTGATATTTGTCCCAGCAAACGCCATCCTAACGGTGCGCATAATCCTCGGTCTATTATTACCCGACCTGAAGCTTGTCAGTCTGCCGATAAGGGCCCTTGCCTTTGCGATACGGTCCTCAATTCTTTTTCTCCAGGCTGGGATGGCGCTACTTTTTTGAGTAGCACGTCCAGCCACGGGAAGTTTGGCGCCAATAATACGGCATACTGCCAGTGCGGCGCCAAAAAGAATTGAATCCGTCTCGCAAAGGTCCCGGCTGGCTTCCAAATAGGTCACCAGCATTGGGTTAAGAGCCCGCACGACAGCCCGATTTCGCTTGCTAAGGGGTATGCGGGGAAGTCGCGGTCGATTTTCGAGAGGCATGCTGCGCGTTTCCAGCATCGACTCTTCCAATATGCTCCTCATTTTCTCTAGTTCGTGGGAGACTATTCCATCATCGTCTGAATTAGCCACAAATGGAATGTTGACGGCAGCATCCACATATGCAGTTTGTTGCGCATCTAGTGGCGCCGCATTCCCAGCCGTAGCATTTCCATTCGATGAAGGAATAGCCTCACGTCGTAGTCGCTCGAGTTCGGCGTCACCAAATATGTTGGAGCGCAGGATGTACCGAACTCGGTCTGCCAGGTTTTGCTCAGTGACGGATAGAGATGGCTCCAGCTCTGCAAAAAAGCGATGCATCCGAGCCCGATACGCCAAACATCCAGTTTCTTCCCCTTTTGCCCTAAAATACGCTCGCAGTGCGTTTTCATTCATTGATTTAGACCAACGCATGCGACGTGCTCCACCAGCGGCGGGTGCCGCTTGCTGAGTCCGAGAAGACCCAGCCGACACCAAGCCTTCTGGTGGGGATGATGGATGCGGGGGGCTGCTAGGTGGTCTTGCAACACCCCGCGCTCGGCTGGCGGCCCGCATGCTGTCGCGTCCAGCGCCAGCTCCAGACGCGCCCTGGCGACCTCCAGGCAGCGGCCCTTTGCGCACTATCTTTTTCTCCATCATCCATAATATGGGCGTCCATTAACGGGAGACGCCCAGGCCCGGCACCGTATCGTGGACGGCCATAAGCACAAACGGGCCTTTGCACCCTGAATTCTGCCGAGGCACGGCGCTCACACCTCTCGCAAGGCGCTGACTGACTGCGTTGACGTAGCAGTTTTGTCACTTAACTGTTACGTCAGCGGGCGATGGGGTCGTCAATTCCCTACGCCATTATTATTATTATTGTGGGGTATCTATATAGTTTTCTCATCTGGTTGGGTTCTATAAATATATAATTATAAATGAAAATGAAAAGATAAATATACATAAATATCAATAACATAAAATAAATATAAAAATACATAAATAAATAAAAGCCCAACCAGATGGAGGCCCTCGGCAGGGGAGACCAAACGGCCGAGGGTTAGGGGGAAAGGGAAAGAAACCGGCGGACGATGCGGGCGGTATCGAGGAGCACCGCCTTCTGCATTTGAGCCCGGAGCGGTCCGCCACGTAGTCCCAGTCGCCTCAGATGACCCGAGAGGCTGACTGGGATTAGCCCGTTTGCAGAGACGACTACAGGAATAATTTCGGTCGGCAGACCACCCCACATGTCGGTCACCTCGTGAGCCAGGTCCAGATATTTTGTTTGCTTGTCTGTTTCGGCTTTCACGAGGTTCTCGTCATACGGAATGGTAATGTCGACCAAAAATATCCTTGACTGTGCCCGGTCCATCAGCACAATATCAGGCTTATTCGCAAGAATAGTCCTGTCTGTGATGATGGCCCGGTCCCAATAGAGCCTGGCGCGATCATTTTCGAGCACGGCTTCCGGCAAGTACTTGTAATACGGCAATTTCCGGTCCACGAGACCGTATTTCAGAGCGAGCTCCTGGTGTAGAATTCTGGCTACTAGGTTGTGCCTGTGCAAGTACTCAGAGTTAGAAAGCGCCGAACAACCGGAGATGACATGCCTAAGTGACTCACCGGGATGGCGACAAGCTCGACAGATGTCCACGGTGCCATCCTTTAGGATGTATCTCCGATAGTTGTTGGTCTTAATAACCTGATCCTGTATTGCACAGACAAAACCCTCGGTTTCCCCGAAGAGATCACCAAAGCGTAGCCAGTAGAGGGAGGCTACTGTGTCTACGAAAGGCTCATGTAGAGCCTTGTAGAACCTCCCGTGGAGCTCCTTCTCCTTCCATACGGTCTCCCGGTCGGAAATTGTCTGCACTGCCGGGTCTTGCCATTGCTCGTTGGCTAAGGATAGAGGGGTAAGTCCTTTATCACTAGAAATGACGTCCTTATAGAATGGATCATCCGATCTCGCCAGGAAGTAATCACGGAGGCTGCACACTTCGCGATTATGCATGGTGAGCGCGCTCAAGAAGCCACGCCCACCATGCTTTCGCGGCAAGTACAGCCTCATTACCGACGATCTCGGATGATGCATCCTGTGGGACGTCATGGTAGTGCGGACTTTTCTATCCAGGGCGTTAAGTTCAGTCTGAGTCCACCTGAGTATGCCAAAGGTATACATGAGGACAGGCATGACCCAGCCGTTATATGCGTGTGTCTTATTCACACCGGACAAAAGGCTGTTAAGCACTTTGGTCAAGCGTGCATAAAACACGTCGCAAACTGACTGTTTCATACCAGCCTCATCGATACCGATGTTCTGTGACATACCCAGGTATCGGTATGTTTCAGCCTCGGAAAGGGTCCTTAAGTTGACGGGCATAGATAAGTCTATGCCCTCAGAGTTAGCAACCCTCCCCCTTTCAACATGGAGGACCGCACACTTATCCGTTCCCAGCTCCATTCCAATAGAATTGCTAAATTCACAAGTGATGTTTAGCAATTCCATAAGATGGGAGCGACTGGAGGCGAATAACTTGAGGTCATCCATATAGAAAAGGTGGGTCACTTTTGTACCTCCTTTCCGAAGCTGAAATCCCCTCCCGGAGCCCTCCAGTAAGGTACTGAGATGGTTCAGGGAGAGGCAAAACCAGATTGGACTCAGACAATCGCCCTGGAAGATACCCCTTCTTATCCTTATGTGGTTCTCCGCAGCCATCATCCGCTCGCCCAGATAGCAAAGGATCGTACTCCATTGCCCCATACACTGCTCGAGGAAGTCTCCAACTGTACAGTCAATTTTGTACAGCTGGAGGACTCTCTTTAGCCATGTATGGGGCACCGAGTCGAATGCCTTTCTGTAGTCTATCCAGGCGGCGGAGAAGTTCCGACGGTTGCGTTTCACCACTTTGCCAATGACCGCGTCAATGAGGAGTGGTTCCTTGGTTCCACGACCACCGCCCCGGCATCCATTTTGAGCGCGTGACATCACCTGATTTAGCTCCAGGTGACGAGTGATTCTCGCGCTCAAAATGGATGTCAGTGTCTTATATATGGTGGGTAGACACGTGATGGGGCGGTATTTGCTCGGGTCTGTGGTATCCTGGTCTTTAGGAACCAAATGAGTGATCCCAGTAGTGAAGAGGCTCGGGAGCGACTTCTGATCGAGAGCCTCTTGAAACTGTCGGGCGAGCACAGCGTGACACACTACGAACCCCTTCAGCCAGTAATGATGCAGCCCGTCGAGCCCCGGACTTTTCCAGTTCGGGGCCCTACGGACCGCCTCAGCCACGTCTTCAGGCGTTATGGTGACGGGGTCCATAGGCGTAACACTTGCACTCTGGCTCGCCACAACTTCCGTCCAAGGGCCTTTGCTGTTGTTTACGGGCTCTGACCACAGGCCACGCCAAAATGCGACAGTGTCAGCCTGATCCGGTCCTGGGCCCGCTCCACATACCTCTGGTCGCTCCAATGTTTTATAGAGCCTCTTCTGATCACTCTGGAAGAGACGATTCTGGTTGAACCGCCTTGACCTCTCGCTAAATCGTCGAATCCGCTTCCCCCAAGCAGCGATTTTTTGCTTCAGGTCATCTATGCGCTCCGTTAGTTTTTGCGTGATATCCGGCTGGGACAAACTGATATTTGTCCCAGCAAACGCCATCCTAACGGTGCGCATAATCCTCGGTCTATTATTACCCGACCTGAAGCTTGTCAGTCTGCCGATAAGGGCCCTTGCCTTTGCGATACGGTCCTCAATTCTTTTTCTCCAGGCTGGGATGGCGCTACTTTTTTGAGTAGCACGTCCAGCCACGGGAAATTTGGCGCCAATAATACGGCATACTGCCAGTGCGGCGCCAAAAAGAATTGAGTCCGTCTCGCAAAGGTCCCGGCTGGCTTCCAAATAGGTCACCAGCATTGGGTTAAGAGCCCGCACGACAGCCCGATTTCGCTTGCTAAGGGGTATGCGGGGAAGTCGCGGTCGATTTTCGAGAGGCATGCTGCGCGTTTCCAGCATCGACTCTTCCAATATGCTCCTCATTTTCTCTAGTTCGTGGGAGACTATTCCATCATCGTCTGAATTAGCCACAAATGGAATGTTGACGGCAGCATCCACGTTTGCGGTTTGTTGCGCATCTAGTGGCGCCGCATTCCCAGCCGTAGCATTTCCATTCGATGAGGGAATAGCCTCACGTCGTAGTCGCTCGAGTTCGGCGTCACCAAATATGTTGGAGCGCAGGATGTACCGAACTCGGTCTGCCAGGTTTTGCTCAGTGACGGATAGAGATGGCTCCAGCTCTGCAAAAAAGCGATGCATCGAGCCCGATATGCCAAACATCCAGTTTCTTCCCCTTTTGCCCTAAAATACGCCCGCAGTGCGTTTTCATTCATTGATTGAGACCAACGCATGCGACGTGCTCCACCAGCGGCGGGTGCCGCTTGCTGAGTCCGAGAAGACCCAGCCGACACCAAGCCTTCTGGTGGGGATGATGGATGCGGGGGGCTGCTAGGTGGTCTTGCAACACCCCGCGCTCGGCTGGCGGCCCGCATGCTGTCGCGTCCAGCGCCAGCTCCAGACGCGCCCTGGCGACCTCCAGGCAGCGGCCCTTTGCGCACTATCTTTTTCTCCATCATCCATTATATGGGCGTCCATTAACGGGAGACGCCCAGGCCCGGCACCGTATCGTGGACGGCCATAAGCACAAACGGGCCTTTGCACCCTGAATTCTGCCGAGGCACGGCGCTCACACCTCTCGCAAGGCGCTGACTGACTGCGTTGACGTAGCAGTTTTGTCACTTAACTGTTACGTCAGCGGGCGATGGGGTCGTCAATTCCCTACGCCATTATTATTATTATGTGGGGTATCTATATAGTTTTCTCATCTGGTTGGGTTCTATAAATATATAATTATAAATGAAAATGAAAAGATAAATATACATAAATATCAATAACATAAAATAAATATAAAAGTACATAAATAAATAAAAGCCCAACCAGATGGAGGCCCTCGGCAGGGGAGACCAAACGGCCGAGGGTTAGGGGGAAAGGGAAAGAAACCGGCGGACGATGCGGGCGGTATCGAGGAGCACCGCCTTCTGCATTTGAGCCCGGAGCGGTCCGCCACGTAGTCCCAGTCGCCTCAGATGACCCGAGAGGCTGACTGGGATTAGCCCGTTTGCAGAGACGACTACAGGAATAATTTCGGTCGGCAGACCACCCCACATGTCGGTCACCTCGTGAGCCAGGTCCAGATATTTTGTTTGCTTGTCTGTTTCGGCTTTCACGAGGTTCTCGTCATACGGAATGGTAATGTCGACCAAAAATATCCTTGACTGTGCCCGGTCCATCAGCACAATATCAGGCTTATTCGCAAGAATAGTCCTGTCTGTGATGATGGCCCGGTCCCAATAGAGCCTGGCGCGATCATTTTCGAGCACGGCTTCCGGCAAGTACTTGTAATACGGCAATTTCCGATCCACGAGACCGTATTTCAGAGCGAGCTCCTGGTGAAGAATTCTGGCTACTAGGTTGTGCCTGTGCAAGTACTCAGAGTTAGAAAGCGCCGAACAACCGGAGATGACATGCCTAAGTGACTCACCGGGATGGCGACAAGCTCGACAGATGTCCACGGTGCCATCCTTTAGGATGTATCTCCGATAGTTGTTGGTCTTAATAACCTGATCCTGTATTGCACAGACAAAACCCTCGGTTTCCCCGAAGAGATCACCAAAGCGTAGCCAGTGGAGGGAGGCTACTGTGTCTACGAAAGGCTCATGTAGAGCCTTGTAGAACCTCCCGTGGAGCTCCTTCTCCTTCCATACGTTCTCCCGGTCGGAAATTCTCTGCACTGCCGGGTCTTGCCATTGCTCGTTGGCTAAGGATAGAGGGGTAAGTCCTTTATCACAAGAAATGACGTCCTTATAGAATGGATCATCCGATCTCGCCAGGAAGTAATTACGGAGGCTGCACACTTCGCGATTATGCATGGTGAGCGCGCTCAAGAAGCCACGCCCACCATGCTTTCGCGGCAAGTACAGCCTCATTACCGACGATCTCGGATGATGCATCCTGTGGGACGTCATGGTAGTGCGGACTTTTCTATCCAGGGCGTTAAGTTCAGTCTGAGTCCACCTGAGTATGCCAAAGGTATACATGAGGACAGGCATGACCCAGCCGTTATATGCGTGTGTCTTATTCACACCGGACAAAAGGCTGTTAAGCACTTTGGTCAAGCGTGCATAAAACACGTCGCAAACTGGGGGTCTGTTGACTGTTTCATACCAGCCTCATCGATACCGATGTTCTGTGACATACCCAGGTATCGGTATGTTTCAGCCTCGGAAAGGGTCCTTAAGTTGACGGGCATAGATAAGTCTATGCCCTCAGAGTTAGCAACCCTCCCCCTTTCAACATGGAGGACCGCACACTTATCCGTCCCCAGCTCCATTCCAATAGAATTGCTAAATTCACAAGTGATGTTTAGCAATTCCATAAGATGGGAGCGACTGGAGGCGAATAACTTGAGGTCATCCATATAGAAAAGGTGGGTCACTTTTGTACCTCCTTTCCGAAGCTGAAATCCCCTCCCGGAGCCCTCCAGTAAAGTACTGAGAGGGTTCAGGGAGAGGCAAAACCAGATTGGACTCAGACAATCGCCCTGGAAGATACCCCTTCTTATCCTTATGTGGTTCTCCGCAGCCATCATCCGCTCGCCCAGATAGCAAAGGATCGTACTCCACTGCCCCATACACTGCTCGAGGAAGTCTCCAACTGTACAGTCAATTTTGTACAGCTGGAGGACTCTCTTTAGCCATGTATGGGGCACCGAGTCGAATGCCTTTCTGTAGTCTATCCAGGCGGCGGAGAAATTCCGACGGTTGCGTTTCACCACTTTGCCAATGACCGCGTCAATGAGGAGTGGTTCCTTGGTTCCACGACCACCGCCCCGGCATCCATTTTGAGCGCGTGACATCACCTGATTTAGCTCCAGGTGACGAGTGATTCTCGCGCTCAAAATGGATGTCAGTGTCTTATATATGGTGGGTAGACACGTGATGGGGCGGTATTTGCTCGGGTCTGTGGTATCCTGATCTTTAGGAACCAAATGAGTGATCCCAGTAGTGAAGAGGCTCGGGAGCGACTTCTGATCGAGAGCCTCTTGAAACTGTCGGGCGAGCACAGCGTGACACACTACGAACCCCTTCAGCCAGTAGTGATGCAGCCCGTCGAGCCCCGGACTTTTCCAGTTCGGGGCCCTACGGACCGCCTCAGCCACGTCTTCAGGCGTTATGGTGACGGGGTCCATAGGCGTAACACTTGCACTCTGGCTCGCCACAACTTCCATCCAAGGGCCCTCGCTGTGGTTTACGGGCTCTGACCACAGGCCACGCCAAAATGCGACAGTGTCAGCCTGATCCGGTCCTGGGCCCGCTCCACATACCTTTGGTCGCTCCAATGATTTATAGAGCCTCTTCTGATCACTCTGGAAGAGACGATTCTGGTTGAACCGCCTTGACCTCTCGCTAAATCGTCGAATCCGCTTCCCCCAAGCAGCGATTTTTTGCTTCAGGTCATCTGTGCGCTCCGTTAGTTTTTGCGTGATATCCGGCTGGAACAAACTGATATTTGTCCCAGCAAACGCCATCCTAACGGTGCGCATAATCCTCGGTCTATTATTACCCGACCTGAAGCTTGTCAGTCTGCCGATAAGGGCCCTTGCCTTTGCGATACGGTCCTCAATTCTTTTTCTCCAGGCTGGGATGGCGCTACTTTTTTGAGTAGCACGTCCAGCCACGGGAAGTTTGGCGCCAATAATACGGCATACTGCCAGTGCGGCGCCAAAAAGAATTGAGTCCGTCTCGCAAAGGTCCCGGCTGGCTTCCAAATAGGTCACCAGCATTGGGTTAAGAGCCCGCACGACAGCCCGATTTCGCTTGCTAAGGGGTATGCGGGGAAGTCGCGGTCGATTTTCGAGAGGCATGCTGCGCGTTTCCAGCATCGACTCTTCCAATATGCTCCTCATTTTCTCTAGTTCGTGGGAGACTATTCCATCATCGTCTGAATTAGCCACAAATGGAATGTTGACGGCAGCATCCACATATGCAGTTTGTTGCGCATCTAGTGGCGCCGCATTCCCAGCCGTAGCATTTCCATTCGATGAAGGAATAGCCTCACGTCGTAGTCGCTCGAGTTCGGCGTCACCAAATATGTTGGAGCGCAGGATGTACCTAACTCGGTCTGCAGGTTTTGCGTGACGGATAGAGAGGCTGCTCTGCAAAAAAGCGATGCATCGAGCCCGATACGCCAAACATCCAGTTTCTTCCCCTTTTGCCCTAAAATACGCCCGCAGTGCGTTTTCATTCATTGATTTAGACCAACGCATGCGACGTGCTCCACCAGCGGCGGGTGCCGCTTGCTGAGTCCGAGAAGACCCAGCCGACACCAAGCCTTCTGGTGGGGATGATGGATGCGGGGGGCTGCTAGGTGGTCTTGCAACACCCCGCGCTCGGCTGGCGGCCCGCATGCTGTCGCGTCCAGCGCCAGCTCCAGACGCGCCCTGGCGACCTCCAGGCAGCGGCCCTTTGCGCACTATCTTTTTCTCCATCATCCATAATATGGGCGTCCATTAACGGGAGACGCCCAGGCCCGGCACCGTATCGTGGACGGCCATAAGCACAAACGGGCCTTTGCACCCTGAATTCTGCCGAGGCACGGCGCTCACACCTCTCGCAAGGCGCTGACTGACTGCGTTGACGTAGCAGTTTTGTCACTTAACTGTTACGTCAGCGGGCGATGGGGCGTCAATTCCCTACGCCATTATTATTATTATGTGGGGTATCTATATAGTTTTCTCATCTGGTTGGGTTCTATAAATATATAATTATAAATGAAAATGAAAAGATAAATATACATAAATATCAATAACATAAAATAAATATAAAAATACATAAATAAATAAAAGCCCAACCAGATGGAGGCCCTCGGCAGGGGAGACCAAACGGCCGAGGGTTAGGGGGAAAGGGAAAGAAACCGGCGGACGATGCGGGCGGTATCGAGGAGCACCGCCTTCTGCATTTGAGCCCGGAGCGGTCCGCCACGTAGTCCCAGCCGCCTCAGATGACCCGAGAGGCTGACTGGGATTAGCCCGTTTGCAGAGACGACTACAGGAATAATTTCGGTCGGCAGACCACCCCACATGTCGGTCACCTCGTGAGCCAGGTCCAGATATTTTGTTTGCTTGTCTGTTTCGGCTTTCACGAGGTTCTCGTCATACGGAATGGTAATGTCGACCAAAAATATCCTTGACTGTGCCCGGTCCATCAGCACAATATCAGGCTTATTCGCAAGAATAGTCCTGTCTGTGATGATGGCCCGGTCCCAATAGAGCCTGGCGCGATCATTTTCGAGCACGGCTTCCGGCAAGTACTTGTAATACGGCAATTTCCGATCCACGAGACCGTATTTCAGAGCGAGCTCCTGGTGTAGAATTCTGGCTACTAGGTTGTGCCTGTGCAAGTACTCAGAGTTAGAAAGCGCCGAACAACCGGAGATGACATGCCTAAGTGACTCACCGGGATGGCGACAAGCTCGACAGATGTCCACGGTGCCATCCTTTAGGATGTATCTCCGATAGTTGTTGGTCTTAATAACCTGATCCTGTATTGCACAGACAAAACCCTCGGTTTCCCCCGAAGAGATCACCAAAGCGTAGCCAGTGGAGGGAGGCTACTGTGTCTACGAAAGGCTCATGTAGAGCCTTGTAGAACCTCCCGTGGAGCTCCTTCTCCTTCCATACGTTCTCCCGGTCGGAAATTGTCTGCACTGCCGGGTCTTGCCATTGCTCGTTGGCTAAGGATAGAGGGGTAAGTCCTTTATCACAAGAAATGACGTCCTTATAGAATGGATCATCCGATCTCGCCAGGAAGTAATTACGGAGGCTGCACACTTCGCGATTATGCATGGTGAGCGCGCTCAAGAAGCCACGCCCACCATGCTTTCGCGGCAAGTACAGCCTCATTACCGACGATCTCGGATGATGCATCCTGTGGGACGTCATGGTAGTGCGGACTTTTCTATCCAGGGCGTTAAGTTCAGTCTGAGTCCACCTGAGTATGCCAAAGGTATACATGAGGACAGGCATGACCCAGCCGTTATATGCGTGTGCCTTATTCACACCGGACAAAAGGCTGTTAAGCACTTTGGTCAAGCGTGCATAAAACACGTCGCAAACTGTTTCACTGTTTCCTATACCAGCCTCATCGATACCGATGTTCTGTGACATACCCAGGTATCGGTATGTTTCAGCCTCGGAAAGGGGTCCTTAAGTTGACGGGCATAGATAAGTCTATGCCCTCAGAGTTAGCAACCCTCCCCCTTTCAACATGGAGGACCGCACACTTATCCGTTCCCAGCTCCATTCCAATAGAATTGCTAAATTCACAAGTGATGTTTAGCAATTCCATAAGATGGGAGCGACTGGAGGCGAATAACTTGAGGTCATCCATATAGAAAAGGTGGGTCACTTTTGTACCTCCTTTCCGAAGCTGAAATCCCCTCCCGGAGCCCTCCAGTAAGGTACTGAGAGGGTTCAGGGAGAGGCAAAACCAGATTGGACTCAGACAATCGCCCTGGAAGATACCCCTTCTTATCCTTATGTGGTTCTCCGCAGCCATCATCCGCTCGCCCAGATAGCAAAGGATCGTACTCCATTGCCCCATACACTGCTCGAGGAAGTCTCCAACTGTACAGTCAATCTTGTACAGCTGGAGGACTCTCTTTAGCCATGTATGGGGCACCGAGTCGAATGCCTTTCTGTAGTCTATCCAGGCGGCGGAGAAATTCCGACGGTTGCGTTTCACCACTTTGCCAATGACCGCGTCAATGAGGAGTGGTTCCTTGGTTCCACGACCACCGCCCCGGCATCCATTTTGAGCGCGTGACATCACCTGATTTAGCTCCAGGTGACGAGTGATTCTCGCGCTCAAAATGGATGTCAGTGTCTTATATATGGTGGGTAGACACGTGATGGGGCGGTATTTGCTCGGGTCTGTGGTATCCTGATCTTTAGGAACCAAATGAGTGATCCCAGTAGTGAAGAGGCTCGGGAGCGACTTCTGATCGAGAGCCTCTTGAAACTGTCGGGCGAGCACAGCGTGACACACTACGAACCCCTTCAGCCAGTAGTGATGCAGCCCGTCGAGCCCCGGACTTTTCCAGTTCGGGGCCCTACGGACCGCCTCAGCCACGTCTTCAGGCGTTATAGTGACGGGGTCCATAGGCGTAACACTTGCACTCTGGCTCGCCACAACTTCCGTCCAAGGGCCCTCGCTGTGGTTTACGGGCTCTGACCACAGGCCACGCCAAAATGCGACAGTGTCGGCCTGATCCGGTCCTGGGCCCGCTCCACATACCTTTGGTCGCTCCAATGTTTTATAGAGCCTCTTCTGATCACTCTGGAAGAGACGATTCTGGTTGAACCGCCTTGACCTCTCGCTAAATCGTCGAATCCGCTTCCCCCAAGCAGCGATTTTTTGCTTCAGGTCATCTATGCGCTCCGTTAGTTTTTGCGTGATATCCGGCTGGAACAAATTGATATTTGTCCCAGCAAACGCCATCCTAACGGTGCGCATAATCCTCGGTCTATTATTACCCGACCTGAAGCTTGTCAGTCTGCCGATAAGGGCCCTTGCCTTTGCGATACGGTCCTCAATTCTTTTTCTCCAGGCTGGGATGGCGCTACTTTTTTGAGTAGCACGTCCAGCCACGGGAAGTTTGGCGCCAATAATACGGCATACTGCCAGTGCGGCGCCAAAAAGAATTGAATCCGTCTCGCAAAGGTCCCGGCTGGCTTCCAAATAGGTCACCAGCATTGGGTTAAGAGCCCGCACGACAGCCCGATTTCGCTTGCTAAGGGGTATGCGGGGAAGTCGCGGTCGATTTTCGAGAGGCATGCTGCGCGTTTCCAGCATCGACTCTTCCAATATGCTCCTCATTTTCTCTAGTTCGTGGGAGACTATTCCATCATCGTCTGAATTAGCCACAAATGGAATGTTGACGGCAGCATCCACATATGCAGTTTGTTGCGCATCTAGTGGCGCCGCATTCCCAGCCGTAGCCATTTCCATTCGATGAAGGAATAGCCTCACGTCGTAGTCGCTCGAGTTCGGCGTCACCAAATATGTTGGAGCGCAGGATGTACCTAACTCGGTCTGCCAGGTTTTGCTCAGTGACGGATAGAGATGGCTCCAGCTCTGCAAAAAAGCGATGCATCCGAGCCCGATACGCCAAACATCCAGTTTCTTCCCCTTTTGCCCTAAAATACGCCCGCAGTGCGTTTTCATTCATTGATTTAGACCAACGCATGCGACGTGCTCCACCAGCGGCGGGTGCTGCTTGCTGAGTCCGAGAAGACCCAGCCGACACCAAGCCTTCTGGTGGGGATGATGGATGCGGGGGGCTGCTAGGTGGTCTTGCAACACCCCGCGCTCGGCTGGCGGCCCGCATGCTGTCGCGTCCAGCGCCAGCTCCAGACGCGCCCTGGCGACCTCCAGGCAGCGGCCCTTTGCGCACTATCTTTTTCTCCATCATCCATAATATGGGCGTCCATTAACGGGAGACGCCCAGGCCCGGCACCGTATCGTGGACGGCCATAAGCACAAACGGGCCTTTGCACCCTGAATTCTGCCGAGGCACGGCGCTCACACCTCTCGCAAGGCGCTGAGCTTACTGTTATTATTATTATTATTATTATTATTATGGGGTATCTATATAGTTTTCTCATCTGGTTGGATGCTATAAATATATAATTATAAATGAAAATGAAAAGATAAATATACATAAATATCAATAACATAAAATAAATATAAAAGTACATAAATAAATAAAAGCCCAACCAGATGGAGGCCCTCGGCAGGGGAGACCAAACGGCCGAGGGTTAGGGGGAAAGGGAAAGAAACCGGCGGACGATGCGGGCGGTATCGAGGAGCACCGCCTTCTGCATTTGAACCTGGAGCGGTCCGCCACGTAGTCCCAGCCGCCTCAGATGACCCGAGAGGCTGACTGGGATTAGCCCGTTTGCAGAGACGACTACAGGAATAATTTCGGTCGGCAGACCACCCCACATGTCGGTCACCTCGTGAGCCAGGTCCAGATATTTTGTTTGCTTGTCTGTTTCGGCTTTCACGAGGTTCTCGTCATACGAAATGGTAATGTCGACCAAAAATATCCTTGACTGTGCCCGGTCCATCAGCACAATATCAGGCTTATTCGCAAGAATAGTCCTGTCTGTGATGATGGCCCGGTCCCAATAGAGCCTGGCGCGATCATTTTCGAGCACGGCTTCCGGCAAGTACTTGTAATACGGCAATTTCCGATCCACGAGACCGTATTTCAGAGCGAGCTCCTGGTGTAGAATTCTGGCTACTAGGTTGTGCCTGTGCAAGTACTCAGAGTTAGAAAGCGCCGAACAACCGGAGATAACATGCCTAAGTGACTCACCGGGATGGCGACAAGCTCGACAGATGTCGACGGTGCCATCCTTTAGGATGTATCTCCGATAGTTGTTGGTCTTAATAACCTGATCCTGTATTGCACAGACAAAACCCTCGGTTTCCCCGAAGAGATCACCAAAGCGTAGCCAGTGGAGGGAGGCTACCGTGTCTACGAAAGGCTCATGTAGAGCCTTGTAGAACCTCCCGTGGAGCTCCTTCTCCTTCCATACGGTCTCCCCGTCGGAAATGCTCTGCACTGCCGGGTCTTGCCATTGCTCGTTGGCTAAGGATAGAGGGGTAAGTCCTTTATCACAAGAAATGACGTCATTATAGAATGGATCATCCGATCTCGCCAGGAAGTAACCACGGAGGCTGCACACTTCGCGATTATGCATGGTGAGCGCGCTCAAGAAGCCACGACCACCATGCTTCCGCGACAAGTACAGCCTCATTACCGACGATCTCGGATGATGCATCCTATGGGACGTCATGGTAGTGCGGACTTTTCTATCCAGGGCGTTAAGTTCAGTCTGAGTCCACCTGAGTATGCCAAAGGTATACATGAGGACAGGCATGACCCAGCCGTTATATGCGTGTGCCTTATTCACACCGGACAAAAGGCTGTTAAGCACTTTGGTCAAGCGTGCATAAAACACGTCGCAAACTGACTGTTTCATACCAGTCTCATCGATACCGATGTTTTGTGACATACCCAGGTATCGGTATCTTTCAGCCTCGGAAAGGGTCCTTAAGTTGACGGGCATAGGTAAGTCTACGCCCTCAGAGTTAGCAACCCTTCCCCTTTCAACATGGAGGACCGCACACTTATCCGTCCCAAGCTCCATTCCAATGGAATTGCTAAATTCACACGTGATGTTTAGCAATTCCATAAGATGGGAGCGACTGGAGGCGAATAACTTGAGGTCATCCATATAGAAAAGGTGGGTCACTTTTGTCCCTCCGGAATCCCCTCCCGGAGCCCTCCGGTAAGATACTGAGAGGGTTCATACACAGGCAGAACCAGATTGGACTCAGACAATCGCCCTGGACCCCTTCTTATCCTTATGTGGTTCTCCGCAGCCATCATCCGCTCGCCCAGATGACAAAGGATCGTACTCCACTGCCCCATACACTGCTCGAGGAAGTCTCTAACTGTACAGTCTATCTTGTACAGCTCGAGGACTCTCTTTAGCCATGTATGGGGCACCGAGTCGAATGCCTTTCTGTAGTCTATCCAGGCGGCGGAGAAGTTCCGACGGTTGCGTTTCACTACTTTGCCAATGACCGCGTCAATGAGGAGTGGTCCGCCCCGACATCCATTTTGAGCGCGCGACATCACCTGATTTGAGTCCAGGTGACAGGTGATTCTCGCGCTCAAAATGGATGTTAGTGTCTTGTATATGGTCGGTAGACACGTGATGGGGCGGTATTTGCTCGGGTCTGTGGTACCCTGGTCTTTAGGAACCAAATGAGTGATCCCAGTAGTGAAGAGGCTTGGGAGCGACTTCTGGTTGAGAGCCTCTTGAAACTGTCGGGCGAGCACAGAGTGACACACCATGAACCCCTTCAGCCAGTAGTGATGCAGCCCGTCAAGCCCCGGACTTTTCCAGTTCGGGGCCCTACGGACCGCCTCAGCTACGTCATCCGGCGTTATGATGACGGGGTCCATGGGCGTAATACCCGCACACTGACTCGCCGCAACTTCCGTCCAAGGGCCCTCGCTGTGGTTTACGGGCTCTGACCACAGGCCGCGCCAGAATGCTACAGTGTCGGCCTGATTCGGTGCTGGACCCGTTCCACTTACCATTGGTCGCTCCAATGATTCATAGAGCCTCTTCTGATCACTCTGGAAGAGACGATTCTGGTTGAACCGTGTCGACCTCTCGGTATATCGCCGAATCCGCTTTCCCCAAGCAGCGATTCTCTGCTTCAGATCATCTATGCGCTCCGTCAGTTTTTGCGTTATATCCGGCTGGGACAAACTGACATTTGTCCCAGCAAACGCCATCCTGACGGTGCGCACAATTCTTGGCCTGTTGTTGCCTGATCTGAAGCATATCAGTCTGCCGATGAGAGCTCTAGCCTTTGCGATACGTTCCTCAATTCTTCTTCTCCATGCTGGGATAGCGCTACTATGGCCAGTAGCGCGTCCAGCCGTGGAAACCTTGGCGCCTATGATACGGCAGACTGCCAGCGCGGCGCCAAAAAGAATTGAGTCCGTCTCGCAAAGGTCCCGGCTGGCTTCCAAATAGGTCACCAGCATTGGGTTCAGAGCCCTCACGACAGCCCGATTCCGCTTGCTTAGGGCTATGCGGGGAAGTCGCGGTCGATTTTCGAGAGGCGTACTGCGCGTTTCCACAATCGCCTCTTCCAATGTACTCCTCATATGCTCTAATTCCAGTTCCTGGGCGACTGTTCCATCATCGTTTGAATCAACCACAACTGGGGTATTCACGGCGGCATCCACGTTTGCGGGTTGCTCTACCATTTGTGGCGCCGCATCCTCAGCCGTAGCATTCTCATCCGACGAGGGAACAGCCTCACGTCGTAGCCGTTCGAGTTCGGCGACATCAAATATATTTGAGCGCAAGATATACCGAACTCGGTCTGCCAGGTTTTGCTCTGTGACGGTTATTATTATTATTATATAATATTTATTATTATTATTATAAAATTTGAAAAATTTTAGGATGGTAACACAGCCGAACACAGAAATAAACATTAATTGATGTTTTTTTTTATGGATTACGTGTATAGAATAAGAATGACAAATGAACACATAGTCTACTTGATGGTAAGATACTGTGGCCCATAGATATCTACATTTATCCTTCATTAAAAATTAAAATGCAGATACGTTGTCACCCTTGAGGAATAATATGAAATACCTCGTTTCCAGTAAAAAGGTTCTCCGGTTCTCTACACACACATTACAAAACACAGCAGCATTAAGCTGCTATTTTACGCTGGTATTCTGTGCGAGCGTGGTCCTTCCCCGATCGAGCCGACCTATTCAAGCTACAACCATAATATAGCTTCAGCGTGGCTCTACCGCGTATAAAAATGTAGTGATAGACATGTAGAATGTATTACATATGTATTTACATATGCATTTATTAGAATAATATTTGGACAATGTATTTACAAAGAAAAATCTAACATCATTAACTTGAAAAAAGCCATTAATATATCCTGCGTATAGAGGATAAATGTAGATGTCTATGGGCTACAGCATTCACTTACCATCAGGTGGACTGTGTGATCGTTTGTCACCCTCATTCTATAAAAAAAGCTGGAGCGGACCCTTATTCTATTTAAAAAAAAACATATTTGCTGTATTTTTTATAGACCGCTATAAGTGAAACAGCCCTTTCCTGTACATAAGTAAAGCTAGAAACTCGGGTTGGTGAGAAGCCTCTATAAGCGAAAAAGAGATCGCGATCGCTTGAACTCTCGCTTACCCAGGTTCGACTGTTATTTTTGTGTGCGTCAATGGTCCGTGTAAAAATAAAAAAATTTCTTCTTTATTATTTTTCTTCTAAAACTTACGTAGTCATAATATTTTAAAATTTATGTTCAATAAAGGTAAAATACCTATAATAGTAGAATAGGAATCCACTTCCCAAATGAGATTGAAGCTTGTCGCCGTCGCTCTATTTAGAGCGTGGTCAACTTTGAAGGATGCTACGTTTGGTACACCTGTAAACAAAATATGTTTCAATTACACATTATATGATTTGTAGAACTGAATTCACATTCCAGAAAGAGCTCATGGTCTTTAAACAAAAGAATATATGGATTTTAATGAAACTTTAGTTTTAATGAAAGTTCTACTGAATCTTAAAGGAGATTTAGTTTCACGCTTCATTGCTTAAGATAGTTTTATCTGTTTCAATTATATTAAATTAGGTCCACGACGCATGTACGCGTGCATGGTGCACCTAATTTAATATAAGTAATGCATAGCATGATCCGTGTCATAGGAAGCATTGATATGATTTAGGGGTGAGGCATATTTATCATAACAGGTAAAAAAGCAGGCATAGAACAGTTCCTGTTCCACGAGATAACAAATCCACTAAAGACAGTCACAACATTTTTTATTCCTATATATGACGGTTATCTTTGTTAGAATATAATAGAAAATGTTACTGTAACACCCTGTTATTCCTCACAAGCTCTTTCCTTTTCTCGCATAGGTTCTACGCCTTAGTTAGAAAGAGAAGTACCTTATGAAAGTATCTTAAATAGCATATTGTAACTGTGACAAACAAACTGAAAGAACAGCTCCTGTTCCATGAGATAATAAATCTACTAAAAGACAGTCACAAGTTTTTCTTTATTCATATATTTGACAGTTAACTTTGTTAGAATAAGATAAAAATGTTATTGTGACACCCTGTTATTCGTCAACAAGCTCTTCCCTTTTCCTGCATAGGTTCAACACCTTAGTAAAAAAGAGAAATACCGTATGGAAGTATCGTAAAATAGCAGACTGTGACTGTGATAAACTAACTGAAAGAACAGCTCCTGCTCCACGAGATTACAAATCCACTAAAAGACAGTCACAAGTTTTTCTTTATTCATACATTTGACAGTTAACTTTGTTAGAATAAGATAAAAATGTTATTGTGACACCCTGTTATTCGTCAACAAGCTCTTTCCTTTTCCCGCATAGGTTCAACAACTTAGTAAAAAGAGAAGTACCGTATGGAAGTATCGTAAACTAGCAGACTGTGACTGTGATAAACTAACTGAAAGAACAGCTCCTGCTCCACGAGATTACAAATCCACTTAAAGATAGTCACTAGTTTTTCTTTATTCATACATTTGACAGTTAACTTTGTTAGAATAAGATAAAAATGTTATTGTGACACCCTGTTATTCGTCAACAAGCTCTTTCCTTTTCCCGCATAGATTCAACACCTTAGTAAAAAAGAGAAGTACCATATGGAAGTATCGTAAAATAGCAGACTGTGACTGTGATTAACTAACTGAAAGAACAGCTCCTGCTCCACGAGATTACAAATCCACTTAAATATAGTCACTAGTTTTTCTTCATTCATAACATTTGTCAGTTACCTTTGTTAGAATAAGATAAAAAATGTTACTGTGACACGCTGTTATTCGTCACAAGCACGTTTTTCTCGCATAGGTTCAGCACCTTAGTTAGAAAGAAAATTACCTACCAAGACAGTTGTAACCAAACTGGTATTTAGTAACAGCTTTTTGGAACTGTTATATATGTGGAACTGGCACAGGCGGAACAGATATGCAATTTTACCTGTTACAGCCCACTCCTTTTATGATTATTATTCTAAGAGTTTGAACCATGGTAGCTGTGACTTGGGTTCGTGAGTGATCGAGTGATTTGAGTTCGATCCCCGCCGGCACCAATGAAATTGTTAATAGGTTTAAATGCGGTGAAGGAACACATCGTGAGGAAACCTGCATGTCTTAGCAATTAAAATAAATAAATGATTTGAAAACATGTCAAGTGTCCACCAACATGCACTGGTGAAGACAGAAATGAAAAGAAGTCTGTGCCGAGCAGCGGGATATACAAAGACTGTATGGCACGTTGACAAACGGGTGGACGATCACGACAACCATACTCTCAAGAATACCAGCGTGAAATAGCAGCTCAATTCTGCTGCGTTTCGTGTGGTGAGTGTAGAGAACCGGAGACCCTTTTAACCAGAAACAAGGTATTCTATCTTAATCTTAAGGGGTAACAGCGCATCTGCATTTTCATTCTAGATTGAGGATAGATGTAGATACCGCCGCAACCAATTACCATCAGATGGACTGTGTGCTCGATTGTCATCCATGTTCTATAAAAAATATATATCGCAGTACCAGACGTGAGCACCTTTGAGGGTATTCACGTCTAATGTAAACGAGATTTTTATATATACCCACATTTATCGGAAGCCATAAGATTTTTCTGGCATTCCCTACAGTGCCTCTTATAATTCCTACAGGGACTAAATTGATTGATGTATTCTAATATTACGCTGCCACAACAAAATGTTTTTGTTCAAGCAAGGGTGACAATTTAATTTTTTTATAGAATTAGTGTGACAAACGAGCATACAGTTCACCTGATGGTAAGTGAACCCATGACCTATATATATCGACTACTAGAATAATTTAAAAAAGCATTTCATCTTGAAGACTAAGAAATGCCTTTTTTTAATTATTCTAAGCCAGCGCTTAACTACAATCCCACCTGATGGTAAGTGGTGAAGACACCTACACTATAACCGGATGGAAAGACAGATGCTGGCAACTTATTCCACTGCTTTGCTATACGTATGATGAAAGACGAAGCAAACCGTTAGGTTCGAATGCGTGGTAAGTCAGCAACTAAAGGGTTGTAGTTGACTGGCCGAATGTCTAGTTGTCCGATGGTGGAAGTGAGAGGGAGGAAATGCAATTACTGCGTACACTGTCCGAAATACATCCTGTAGGAAACCGAAAGGCTGGCTACTTTGCGCCTGTATTCGAGGCTGGTAAGATTGGTTTTAACCAAATTCGGGTCACTAATACGCCTCTTAGCACGCCTTTCCATTGAGTACAAAGCTAGGTGGTATTTTGCACACCAGTACCAGCCCATATATGGCAGCAATACTCCTTGCACGGCCGGAATTGCGCTTATATAACTAAGCAGCTATCCCAGCGTGAAGTATCGCCACACTTGTGCAAGGATTCCTAGCTTCCTTACAGTTGCTTTGGCCTTGTACTCAATGAACTTCGTTTCCAGTAAAAAGTGTCTCCGAATATCTACACTCACCATAAGTTGCTATTTTTAGATTAGATATATATTGATTAAAAAAAACTTACCAGTAAGTTTAAAGGAGACGTCAGCCATTCCCAGTTTATTCTCGGCGCGGAAGGTGTAATTGCCGAAATCCGATTTCCTTACGGATCGAAATATTAGCTGATGGGAGTTTTCTTGAACCATAATTATTACCCTGGAATATATTGAAATATACTCCTAAATATTGAAAGTTGTAAGTGCATATTGAAATTAATTATAATTATAATTATATATATATATATACGTATTTTTTGTTCATTACCCTAATAACTTAATAAGGATAAATGTTGGTAACTATGGGCTATAGCATCCAATCGGGTAAAAAGTGTGGCCGTTTGTTAACATTTCTAGCATAAAAAATTGCTTTCTAAAGTGAAATCAAAAGATTTATATGTATATTAGTAGACGGGCTCTGCGGCCTTAATACTTTGCCCACTAGGTTACGGTCAAATCACCATAACTCCTTTAGTCGACTGCGAGCGGGCGACAAGACTTGTTCTTTGCTTTGTAACCCGCGATCGTTGTTTTCGACAATCTAACACTGATTTTCTTTAATATGACAAATAAAACGTCGTCATTGTTTATGTGCGTACTTTTTCAACGTGATTTGAAGTTTATTTAAGATAAATAGTAACTTTATTTGGCATTTGCCTAAAAAAATTAACCGATGTAAATTAAAATACAACTGTGTGGAATATTTACCGTACCAACTATCATATCATATCAGATATCAGCTGTGACAGTTTTTATTCTGAAATGCCGGTGTAGTATACATAGAATTCTTTAGAGAAATCATTAAAAGTTACACAAACTACACAAAACGACAGTAATCTTTGTATTATTTTGGCAAACCTGTCATCAGTCTTGACCGGGCTGCCATCCTTGAACCAGGCGGTATTGGCGGGAGGTGCTGCAAACTCCAGCGTCGCCTCTAGTGCCGCGCGGAGCCCAATCGCAGTGTGAACGAAGCTCCGATCTACTTTCACTACTGGCGCGTCTATTACACAATAGTAAATTTCTATTTGTAAAATTAATGTCCTGTACTTTTGGCCATATGAGGACGCTCAAGCTCGGGATTCCTCTGCGTGATAAACTTAGAAATGAGGATATCGGCAGTAGAATCAGAGTGACTGACATAGCCCAACGGATTAATAAGCTGAAGTGGCAATGGGCCGGCCATATAGCTCGAAGAACCGAAAACCGATGGGGAAGAAAGATTCTCGAGTGGCAGCCTCGTACGGGTAGGCGCAGTGTAGGACGACCCCCACTAGATGGAGTGACGACCTGGTAAGACATGTAGGAAGTCGGTGGGTGCAGGTGACTCAGAACTGTGCATTGTGGCATTCCTTGTGGGCGCCCAATGTTCAGCAGTGGACTTGTGAAGGGCTGTAATGATGATTATGATGATGAAAATTGATGCAACCAATTGTTGTGAACCTACAGATGCGGTATCACCTCTGAAGACTAAGAAGGAATCCCTTACAGTCTGTTATCATGCTGTCTCTTTATAACCTTCAGACCAGAACACAGTAGTGCAGGAACTGCTATTTGGCAATAGTTAAGATGAGTACCTAACTAGATGGGCTTCTATCCAGAAAAGGAGTCCCAACTCTTATCAAATCCCGCAGTCTGTGAAGCATAGACTAAGATAGAATCTTAGTCCTAAGAAGTGATAACACATCTGTAGCCTTCTTTATACGAAGTAGGTTGCAGTTGTCTATGGACTTCAATGTCTTACCACCGGGTAAACTGTTAGTTCCTTTGCCACTGCGATTTTATTCAAAAAAAAACTTAGTTAATTAAAGTTTTGGAATAAATTAACAAAACAGTGCTCTAAATTCCATCCACATATCTCGCTGGTTGAAAGTCCACCACCGAGCGTTTCACAAGGAATAGAAAATTTTTGCCACATTTGATCTCAATGTGTCTTTTAATAATTTACAGTTTTTCCAGACCAATATGAAGCAAACACGTTCTAAAAAGAGCCTCCTTTTTACTAAATGACCCGCATCGCTGCAGCTCAACCATTTAGAATAGAAGTAAAGTACGTACTTTTTATACGTGGTATACTAACGCTGCAGTGTAGCAATGCTGCATTATAGCAACGCTGAAGTGTAGTAACGCTGTAGCTATGTTAAGGTTGTAGCATAAATGGGTCAGCTATACTAGGGTAATGCTCGCACAGAATACCACTCGTGAAATAAACACATAATCCTGCTGTGCCTTTAATGAGTGACGAAAGATTTCGATTCAAAAATAGATGTGTCATGTAAGTCTTCGAACCAAAGTAAAATTGATAATGTCCTTAAGACCGAGTTTCTTTGCGGAAATCTATTATTTTAAAGATGTTAAAAAGTAATTAGCTAATAAAATTTTCACATATTTAAGACCGAATTTCGGTCACGGCGCCCCGTCTCTACGGAAATGAGGCATATGTGTAGGACAAGATTATAGTGCACGTGTGTGTGCTATATTCTTTTATTGTAGTCCAATAGGACGGCAATCCGACACTATCGGAGTGATCAGGCGCAGAAACAACGGTTTTAGATTCTCTCCGAGACACGGAGTTAAAACATCGCTAACATCCTGAATCTGGGCTGCTACTGAAAATTTCTTGTCAGAAAAAGCCAATAAATTATTTTGGCCGCGCTTACGACCACTAGACCAACAAGGCAGTCAACCGCGAACCACAGTACTACTACCATTAAGTAGATTATGATCATTTGTCACCACTACCTATTATTATTGTGATTTATGCAAAGCCTTCGATTGTGTCAACGATAAGGCATTAATCAGTAAAATTCAAACGTATGGTTTAAAAAATGTGGTTCCTTTATTTATTAATTTTTATTTAAGTAACAGAACTCAAAAAGTTATCATCAGCGGTAAAAGTTGTTCCGGGTCGACAGTACAACAGGGCTTCCTAAGGGCTCCATTTTCGGCCCTTCTTATTTCTTGTCAATATTCATGACAAATCTTACATAGTAGAGGTCAACCATGTTATAGTATTAACTTCATCGAAATACTTCACTCACTTTCATATTGAAATAGAAACTGATAATAACACACTATGACCCTACCCACCTTGTATAATTACTCTTATGGCAGCCCTCACGGGATCACCAACTCCGTTGCTAGCAGTACACTCGTACACTCCGGCTAGAAGTCTGTGTTCTGCTCTGAATTTAATGCGGGCACGATGCTCCAGAAGCGCCATTGGTTCACCCTGATAAGGAGATTAGATATAATTTAAAATTTATACCAAAAAATATATGAGTGTAAGTGCCCTTAAACAACGAGCATGGATGCGTAAATATATGAGTGTAAAAAAGTGAGAAAGCTGTATCAGGATCGTACTAAGTGGAAGTCACTAGTCTACCTATCCCTGGTCTACTTTTGTATTTACATGGGGAAATGCCTACACGTATCCGCCTCACGGGGATATGGGCGGGTTTTGATGGACTCGCACCAATTAAAACTCCATGGTGTTCCTCCTTGCCACTTCTTCGCCACATATTGGCATGGCTACGGGTGCTGGTCGCCCCAGAGGGCGGACTCCTATGCGGAAAAGGAGTCTTACAGCCAGCCTATTAGTTGGAATTCATTAATCTAGGAGATTAGTGGATTTATGGACATTAATTTCAACGACTTATATATTTGTAATTTATATAAGTTTATTGTACGTACATTTTTTCTCCACTCAAAAGTAGGTTTAGGTGTTCCAGTAGCTTCGCATCCGATGTCCACATATTCCCCTTTGCGTACTTCAAGATAGCCGTCTTCTGGGATTGTTCGGACTGTTGGGGAACCTAGGTACAAATTTAAATGCTTTATTAAATCACATCACACTAAAACCTTATAGCACCGAGTAAAGAGTTTCTTTACTCGTGTGCTTACAGCACGCCTTAAGCGCAAATCGCGTAGGTATATTCTACTAGCGCCTAAAAATCAAGAATCAAACGTTTTATCGCATGAAATCGTATCTAAGAAGCAAATTGAACATATAAATAATATGAAAAGCACATTGTTAGAAAGATAAATTATTGTTGAACTTATTATAATTTTTTAAATCGATTTATTGCTATTTTTACATTAAAAAAGTGGTTTAGTGGCATACGATTTATCAAGTCCGCACGGCGGGGTAAAAACGATGACTTAACAGGAACAATTACATATAGGCCATACAAATACTTGATCCGTGTGGGATTCGAACCCGCAGCTCTCTGCGCTATAACTCATTGCTAAGCTACTGCGCCACGAATACGTCAATACCGTGTCTGAGTACAAATATCTAAAAATTAAAGTAGTATTAAAGTTGATTTATGATCGTTTTAAAATAATTCTAATTCTGTTATGTTTTTTTAATTATAGTCACCCAAATCAAAGAAACACATTTTGACAGCTGTCAGACTTATTGCACCAGGCATGCCAACCAAAATATGGGAATGTACAATTTTCGATTCTTAAAAAAAAATCGATATCGATTATTTAGAGTTGGTAATCATTTACAGTTTAGTTTGAATATTACCAGAATAAATTTAAAACGGATAATTTAAAACACAAGTATTTGTTTTTACTGTTTATTTCTATAGGTACAGTTATAAAAATTTAAGATTGAAACTACAGAAAACAGATTGAAACTGTAAATTAAAAATAAATTTATTCAATCACTTTCAGTACAACTAGTAGAGATGTCGTTGTTTATATTAATTATTATACGATTTTCAATAACGCAGTCAAAATTAATGTCTTTTTCAAAGTCATCCATAATCAATTTTTTTGTTTTTTCTACCACTTTTGCCCAATCATCCTTTTTGACATGAGCACATGCTTCAACGAATATATTTTTTTATAGCATTGAGTGACAAACGAGCACACAGTCCATCTGATGGTAAGTGGATGCTATAGCCCATAGACATACATATTAATAATCAAAATGCAAATGCGTTGTCACCCCTGAGGACTAAGATGGAATGCCTCGATTCCAGTAAAAAGGGTCTCCGGTTCTCTACACTCACCATACGAAACACAGCAGCATTAGGCTGCTATTTTACGCCGGTGTTCTGGGAAAGCGTGGTCCTGCCCCGGTTGAGCCGACCCATTCGTTCTACAACTATAATATAGATGTAGCGTGGCTATACCACGTACAAAAAGTTATTATAGAAGAAAGAGTCCAAAAAGTTAAAGCCGAGTCACAAAATTACGCATTACAGCTCTCGAAACAGAAAAAGAAACTTTTTTATTCAATATAGATTATGAATAATACTTATTGAAAGTCACTTTTTTCATTTCGCACCGGTTCGTAAAAAAAAACTCTGTTCTGGGAAGAACCAGCAAGAAACCCAACGGGACTAGTTTTTTTTAAAAAAAATAAGAGCTTAAAATCATGCGTATTACAATTAACAACACAAAACAAATTAGAAATAGTTTGGTAGCGATCAACCTTCCCAGGAGTTATTACATCCACAATTTCCTTAATATTAAAATAACCCTTTTTATACAAACTTAGTTTAATAAAGTTTTTGAACTTTGTGTACTTACGTCAAATTTTGTATATTTTCTGGGATTTTGTTGTAAAAGCGCACCTATACATCGCCCCAAGAATGAATTACTGACTCTGTAGAGTCGAGTAACTGGTACCGAAATGAACGCATATCCCGCATATTGAAATTATGTAGTGGTTATTTTAGCACGGCCGTGTATATGAGTTTTTTTGCCTATACAGATTTACTTTGACAAAGTAAAAAAATAATCTTGTTTTATTCATGATTCATGTAATTTAAGGAGTTTTGGAAATAAAAATTAAATTAAACAAATAATACATTAAAAAATAATACTTCGATTATTTGAAAATTTTTACCGATTATTTGAATATTTTGCCGATTATTCGCATAACAATGAATCTTAAACATCCAAACACTACGGTAATATACATAGCGACATATCATTGAAACGACGTCAAGTAAAAAAGTTAATACTGGTTATTTTTTAATATCTTGCTTTGTTTGAAAAAAATCAAATTTAAATTAGTTATAAAAAACTATAAACAATGTAATGAAATATATGATTTACGTAAAAGGTTATTTTAAATAGTGTGAGCTGGTGAAATGTTATTGCGGAATGATTAATATGAAACGTCAAAAGTTATTTCTTAGATTTGGTGGACTATAAAAATAATATATTTTTTAAATCTCAATAATAATAATTAATAACATAGTAAAATAAAAAAAAATATTTTCTATTGTTGATTGAGATTTTTTCTACATTTTTAACGATCATATGAGTCGCGCACTTCTGGATTTTCCAAACTTTTTTATTGACGTTTGTTATAAAATTAAAGGAAAATTAGATTTAATAGTAACAAGGTTAATTGTGAAAACTTGTGTGTACTTAAAATACTTGAAAAATTGACGTATAACTTGAGCGCTCAAGGCATGCACATTTGGATTTACCAAAAGTTTATGTTTATTTTTATGTTCAGTGTTGACCAAAGACCTTTATACGCATTCACCAGTCGACAGTGCTGCTTTGCTCATGCATTTGGGGTAAAAAGGTAGTATTCTTTAAATATAAAAAAGTAAAGGTGCTGTTTACTGTGCAATGGTGTAAAGGCTGCAACCAAAATCAGCCATTGGGTTTTTCTGTCAACTCAATAGCAGCCCGGAATCAGGGAGATAGCATTAACCCCCGTGCCTCGGTTGTTCAGTGTACCTGAACTCTCTCCAGTCGTGCAAAATGAGGGTATCCACAACTTTTTCTGCCACCAGGGCGGCGCCACGTAAATAATGAGGTGTAATATTTGACAAATGTCATAGCGGAGAAGTTGATTTGTTAGAAAAATATAAAGGATTCTTTCTACTATTAGTTATATTTTATATTACTATACCCGGCGATAAATATTGTACATCGACCTTTGGAAAGAGACAATCGGCTAATTTCGGTTTTGTAGAGCGATATCTCTGTCACACGAAATACAAACAGTCCGGTACCTATTAGAAGCTGTTAAAACAATTTTGATTTGCTTCTTTTGATAATTCTTTTTATTCTTTGTATAAAATACACCAATTTTTCTATAAGTGATGACTTTAGGTTGGGGTAAAATAAAATAAAAAAACATGTTCACATTATGTTTAAGTATTTAATTATTTTGGAAAATTACAGCTGAAGTGTACATAATAAACACCATGCCATAGTACAACTTTAAATTATTTAAATTTGGGGGTGTTAACAACTCTAAGTATATATTTTGAACCGGACGCGACCGCAATCTATCGCACTTGAACAATGACTGACAAAACGTCACATATTATGTAGTGTGCGACAGAGATAACGCTCTATGAAGGGGAAATTAGCAGATTGTCTCTTTCCAAAGGTCGATGTGCAATATTTATCACCGGGTACTGTAATTAGATTAAAAGCAAATAAACTAAACCATAGACATTAATAAAAGTAGAAAAATTAAAAAAAATAGTAAAAAATGAGCAAAAAAATTAAAGACCAAACCACTGAGGAATTGTTTTGTGTATTAAATATAATGCTCTAGAAACTGATAAATCTTTATTTACAACTAGTTTCTCAATTAAATTACATTATGTAACAAAAAACTTCATTTCAGTGTCTACTAGCGACATCTAGTAATATTATTAGCACTCATTACCGTCCCATCGGACAATGAGAGTGAGGGAATAGAGTGCACCTGTGCTTGCGCATACACTTGGGCACTATAATCCTGTCCCGCACAGATGGCCAGTCTTTATTGAGACTGGCCACCGTGACCGAAATCCGGTCAGGAGAACATTATTATTATTATTAGTGGTGTAAGAATATACACTACAACATTCTATCCCGCGTATATCGTAAGAGACTTCAGAGGAAAATAAAACGGGAGATAGGATCTTCCTCATATCCACTAGAAAAAAAACTGTGGCTAGTAACTCGTCTACTAAGCGTTTTTAATCCATGGGGAGGTCTATCTTCAGCAGTGAACTTGGATAGGCTGTAATCTCTACAACTCTACATAGTATAAAACAAAGTTGCTTCCCGCCGTCTGTAGTTCGGATTTTGATGTGGTTTTCATCGACAGGTGATTCAAGAAGAAAGTTTATAAGTATGTATATGTTGTCAAGATTCAAAAATCACATGTACGAAGCCGGAGCGAAACGCTAGTGAATGATAAATGATGAAATACGTTTTTTACTTACATTGTACTTCAATGGAGTGTGTTTGCTTGATCGGACCCCATGGTTCTGGCCGGACGACCTAAAAATAACAAAAATTAAAAAGTAAAACACAACAAGATCTATTAATTTCCAGTAGTTAAATATAGTTAGATATTTAAAAAAAACTTATGATAAAAGTAAAAGATGCGGGTAGTCGATGAACGCAGGTGATTCAGAAACTTGCTTTGTGGCATTACTTGGGGGAGGCCTATGTTCAGCAGTGGACTTGTGATGGATTTTAATGATGATGATTATGTTGAAAAAGTAAAAGCCGACTTCAAAAGTCTAAAGAAGAATGAAATAATTTCACATGCTTGTCTTCAGATTGAGAATGTAAATTTAATAAATTTTTAAGTTTTTTTTTACCCTTTTAAGTGGATAGCACAAACTTAATATCGTCTAAAATAGAACTATTAAAAACTTCATACCATATTTTGCTTTTGAAAATTTTTCCTAATTTATATGGAATCCGTGTCATTTAATAAAAAACATAACCATCAAAATAGGCTTACAATTGACGAAGATATAGACCATAAATAATAATTAAAAAGCTGAAGGTACTCTGAGTTAACACTGACATCAGTACTGCTGCAAGCTCGTTCTGCGTAGTTGGGATCAAAAATTAATATTCAAAAACTGAAGGTAGCCGGGCTAACTATGACATTGGGATATCAAACATCTCAGATCCCCCCGTGACCATGGATGTTTTCCAGCATGTAAATTAAATGCGATGAAATCCGTAAAAGTAGTTTTAATCAATGGGTGCGTTCGGCAGAAAAAAGCGCTAGCAAGCGCTTGTAAGCAAAATGGCGATCGTAAGCGGTAAGCGCTGTCAAATCGTAAGTAGCTATTTTCCTCCAGGACACGATGTTAGTTTTAACCGGGGAATCTAACCTAATTTAAATATATGTTTGTAAAGTATTCATATTAAAAACTTACCAATCATGAGTTTTTAATAGCATGTATATGTTTATTCATGTCATTATATTACTTAAAACTAATATTGCACAAAACAACTTATAAACTCTACTTCAAAACAAACAAATTAAATAAGCAAAATGGCGGATTGTGTCAGCGCTACTGAAGTAGCAATCGTGTCCTGGCCGAAAACTATTTTAGCGCTTACAAGCGCTTGCTAGCGCTTTTTTCTGCCAAACGCACCCAATGTGTAGTGTTCGCGTAAATATAAGAAATCGTTATAAATTAAGTGTCAAAAACGCACAAAGTTGGCTTAGCTTTTGTTGGTTCTTTTATTTAATTAAGCTTTGTCAGTAGTAGTCAATCTAGCAGTGAACATTATTTTGCAAATGCGATAAGATTTATAAAAGAAAAAAACAAAAACCAAAACAATAAAAATATGAAAGTAACTTTTCTTTGATATAAACACTATATAAACACTCACGCCTGTCACCCAGAGGGGTAGCAGATACTACGGACTTCTATTTGGCACCCTCAGGTACATTAGTAAAAAATATGGTCTATAAAAATCATATTTTTTGATCGCTCATGGACAGAGCGATTTTTATATTTAAATGCATCACGTCGGGAATTAAAAAGTCAAACGCGATGAAATCCGTAAAATTAGTTTTATAGCTCTTCCCCGCGACTTCGCTTGCGTGTAATTTAAGATTATTTTTTTTGCGCGGATCCCTAATTACAGGTATTTTTAAAAAACAGGTATTTTTAATGTTTTTTTTTTATAAGCACCATATCTAATTTCATATGCATTTAGTAAAAAAGTTATCGGTAGTAGTATTTACGTAAGGCAAGTATTATTTGCATCAGTTTCGTTACTATATATATATATATATATATATATATATATATATATATATATATATATATATATATATAACTGATACTCCGAACTCTCAAACCTGTTAAAACATACCTTGTAACCTGTGTGAAATCCGACACAATCAAAAAGGGAACAGGTACAGGACCCAACGGATTTACGTTCTTTCTGAGGCACGGGGGTAAAACGTCACAATATCGTGAGTCCGGACTGCTACTGAGAATTTATTGACTGAATTTTAATTTATTTCATTTCAATTTTTTTTAAATATAGTGTGGCGGCGATGTCGTCGCGCCACACGCGAAAACACATTGAAGCATAAATCGCGCTATCAAAGTTCCGAATCAAAAACAGTATAATAATATATAGAATAGCTCCGAACTATAACACGGAGCGTTGGCCGCTCCCCGGGGAGAAGAGCTTCCCTTCCACGGCCATACTAGCAATGGTATTAACATTACTAATATTCCTTTTAAGTTTTTAACCACTCATGGTAACCTTAAAATGCTTGTCTTAGGAATGGTTCACGACATTAGGGCCAGTACACACTGAGACGCGACGCGACGCGACGTGGCGCGCCAAAGAGATTTAAATATATATACTACTTAAATATCTTTGCGACGTGCGCTCTTTAAGATTTTATTGAGATAATTAGAAAATGCCCCGCGGTGTCGCGCTGCGCCTCGAGACGCCTCGCGGTGTAGCGCGACGCATCACGACGCAGCGGTACTTTGTCGGTAGGAGAATCGTGAAATTACGATGCGCTGCCAGCATCTTCACGATTCATGCCAGCGACTTCACGACGACGCGATGCGTCTTGCGGCAGCGCGCTGCACAGTCCGAAACCACTGGCCCCTCCAAGCATCCTCGCGTCGCCTCACGTCTCGATGTAAACTGACTCTTATGTCCGGTTTACATTTTGAGAAGTGACACGTGCGAGTGGAAAGTGCAACTGAGAAATAACAAGTGCCAAACGCGTGTGTACAGGCAGTGACAATTAATAAGTAAAAAATACGCACTAAGCAGTTGTCATTTATCAGTTGCACTTGCCACTCGCACTTGTCACTTCTCAAAATATAAACCGGGCCTTTGTCTAATAGCGGATTAGAACGCACGAATTTTTGAGTTCACGTTCCGCATCCTGCCATTAAGTTACAGTGGCCTATAATAAAAACTTCTCTTGATAGAAAAACCTAATAACTCATATTGGCTCGATCCCGGATTCGAACCCAAAACCTCATGATGAACAGTCGCACTTACCGCCACTAGAACCGCGATGGCATCGCAGGCAGTACATAATTATACTGACTCTGCATATACTTCATACTGAAATCCAACATAGCTACACCACTACTTGGCGTTCTAAATAGTTTCCCAGACGCGCGCTAAGGCATTAAAAGAGCACCAAAAATGCTTGCTTCTAATAAATACTATGAGAACGGCAAACGAAGTTAAAAATAACTACAAGCTGAAATTGACGGCTTAAACAAAGAGTTGACCAAATTGACTAATTGCATAATTGGCTACTCGCTAGAGTAAGGGATATATACTAGTGATGGGCATGTTATCGATAAGCGATTGCTATCGGTAAAAGAAAAATATAATGTAATTAAGATCGTAATAAATAAAAGCATTATTTCTACTAAATAATTGAGAAATAGAAAAAACACTGCTGGTCAATGCTCCGTTTGGTAGTACGGGACTTATTCTATTCAGAGTGTAGTATATGGCTGACGGTCCATGACGGTGTGATTTACGCAGAATTTTCTGCCTCTCACGACCAAACTGTGGAATTTACTGTCGTCAGTGACGTTTTCGGACCAATACGACTTAGAGACCTTCAAGAAAAGAGCCTACTCCTTCCTAAAAGGCCAGCAACGCACCTGCGATACCATGGGAATTGCAGATGTTAATGGGCGACGGTGATCATTTACCATCAGGTGAGCCGCAAGCTCGTTTGCCTCCCCTTCCATAAAAACAAGTTATTCAGAAACTTAGATAGTAATACTATCTAAGTTTCTGAAAAATAGCAACTAAGGCCTAAACTATACTATCATAGTATGATTTAGGCCTTAGTTGCTGTTTTAACGCTAGTGTGGCGCGAAAACAGCGGTGCTACAATTATAATAGTCAAAGGAGTAGCGGATTAAGTAGACACAATAGTTAAACAATCTAAATATTTATCTATGAATCACGGGACAGAGTAAGGTTAAAGTATCGAGACGCTATGATTAAAATCTATTCACAGATAAAAGACTTAACATAGCTTAGCAAAAACTTGCTTGTAAAATGCTTTTGTTTTGTTAGTTTAATTTTAATAGGTTTAGTCATTTTCACGACATACACTGATCTAAAAATCTTTTTTTGATGTAATTTATAAATATTTGAGACTCCTATATTACTGTTGACTCCTTTAAACCATTTTTTTTATACAAACGAGGAGGATGGAAAAATTGTCATTTAACTTCAGAGGGGTATCGATATCCTTCTTCCTTATATGGTGAAAATCTTCAGAGAAAGTTCTGCATGGGGATATATTGCCGAACGATGGACAATTGTCTAAGTTCTATTTATACCTAAGGCTGGTATAAAGAACTATGGTTGGGGAAAGTCGGGTAGCCCCGGACGGCGGGTAACGCCGGACATTTAAATATCAAAGAAACTAAACACGTTGCGTAGGTAAAACTTTACTATAAATGTGCGCCCTCTGGAGTAAAAGCAAATCCAACTCAGTTGCGGTGTGGCCGCCAAGCTAGTTACCCGTGAGTGTGTGTTTTGTTCCCGCCAAAAAAACTTCGTCGCTCCTGTCAAACTTCATTGAAGGATTACTAAGTACAATACGTAAGTGTGTAAACTTGTCTATTATTTATGTTGTAGCCAATTTTATACATTTGAAGTTTGTAACAGGATTTTAAACAATTTATTAACTATTTAAGAGCTGTGTTTAAAAATGTTAAATGATAACGATCGGGTACCTCCGGACACGATAATGTCGGGTACCTCCGGACAGTGGTTTAAGTTTTGAATTTCGCAATATTGTGTCAACAAATTACAATTGTTTTTTTCAGTTTGCTTTTTTATGGAAAGTATTTTAAAATGTTTTTACTATTGTTGCAGAAAGATCTAAAATATGCCGAAATTTAAGGGAAGAATTAGCGATAGAGGAAAATGGCACGAAAATAAAATGAAAGAAGCTGTTAAAAATGTGATGGAAGGCAAGTTATCTGTAAGACAAGCGGCAGACAGGTTTGATGTCCCAAGAAGCTCACTTCACGATCGCCTGAAAGTTTTGAAAAGTGGCAAAGAGGTTGCTTTTTACCCGAAGTTGGGGCGATTTGAAACCACATTTTCTGAAAACTTTTCTATGCAACTATATGAGCACGTTAAAGAACTGGACAATCGTCTTATGCCATTAAGTAGGAAGGAGTTTTTAAAATTAGCGTTTGATTTGGCAGAAAACCTCAAAATCCCTCATAGATTTAATAAAGAGAAGGGAGTCGCAGGAAAGGACTTTTTTTACAGTTTTAGAAAAAAATATCCTAATATTGTTTTAAGAACTCCCGAATCGACTAGCATTGCGCGGGCTGTTGGGTTTAACAAACCACAAGTTAGCCGTTTCTTTGGCCACCTTAATCACCTTCAAGAGAAATATAAATTCCCTCCTTCTAGAATTTACAACGCCGATGAAACAGGGGTATCAAATGTGCATAAAAATGATAAAGTCATTTCGATAAAAGGAAAAAAACAGGTTGGTAAATTAACATCTGCAGAAAGAGGTCGAAACATCACATTAACTTTTGCGATGAATGTCACTGGTCATTTCATACCACCCCTTTTCATTTTTCCTCGGAAGAAAATGGATAAGAACGGTCGCTTGATGATAGGAGCTCCACCAGATAGTATTGCTACTCCTCAAGAGAGCGGATGGATGAACGGTGAGGTGTTCTTCCAATGGTTGCAACATTTTAAACAACATGTTCAGCCAACAGAAACAAATCCTGTCCTCTTAATTTTGGATGGCCACGCTAGTCATAAGGAGCTGGCAGTTATAAAATATGCACGTAATCATCACATTCATATGCTGAGCACACCACCTCATACAACTCATAAATTACAGCCGTTGGACAGGACATTTTTTTTAAACCTTTTAAGTCTGCATTTGCAACTGCAAGTTCAGCATGGATGAGGCGAAATCCTACAGCTAGAATCACTGACTATGATATTGCTGCACTTGTGGACGAAGCCTTTAGCAGAGCAGCAAGGTTGGATATAGCACAAAACGGATTCAAGTGCACAGGAATTAATCCATTTAACCCTGAAATCTTTACTGACATTGATTTTTTACCATCAATGATGACAGATGTGATGCAAGAAGTTTCTTCCAAAGAAAATATGGCCAATCAGTTCTCAGTAGCACATTCTTCGCCAGTGCCCTCCACTAGTCATGCATTACCTGCAAATGAACCGGAGTCTTCAACCAGCTCAACAGATATATTGAAACAGCTATCACCATTTCCTGACGCATCGAAAAAACGGTCGTTAAAGCGGGCTCGAAAAACTCAAAGGAGCGAGATTATAACATCATCACCTTACAAAAAAGATGTAGAGGAAAGACAGAAAAGTCGAGACAGAAAAGCGAAAAAACAAAAAAGTAAAGGCACTAAAAAGATGTTAAAAACAACTAAAAATATTCAAAGTCTTTCCAAAGAAAATGGAGAGGAAGAGACCGAATGCATCATATGTGGAGAAACATTTGAAGAGGACTGGATTCAGTGCCAGGAATGCAAAAACTGGGCCCATGAAGACTGTGTTTACATAGATTCTTCGGATGTTTATTTTAATTGTGATGTTTGTAAGGCCAAAAAACGATTAGGCCAGTATTGATTATTATGTCCGGGGCTACCCGCCGTCTTTTGTATCGTCAAAAAAATGAGACCAAAGTATTTTCAATATATTTCCTTAAAAAAAATGATATGATTAATAATTTTAATTATTATGATTAAAGAAGTTCCTAGCTTTACTTTAAGTGTAAAATAAAGACAGAAATTTTGTTTATTAATATTTTTATTTGCAATTGATTTTAGTGTCTGGGGCTACCCGACCTTTACTAAAGTCCTTTGGACCTATTAGCCTATTTTCCTTTCTTCTTAAGACACTGGAAAAAGTTATAAATAGATATATAAGCAGACATCATACATCGATGTCAACAGTGTCCAACACTAGCATCAAATTAGTATTTGTTAAGATCGAAGGGCGGTTCGTTTACACAAATTAATTGCTGTACACCAGAGATACTATCCGCAGTTTTGTTTCGCAATCGGCTATTTACAATTTATAGACATGAGTAGTGTTAGTACGTGCCTATTAATTTAATACCACGTAAACAATTTAAAAATTTTTTTACGTGGTACAGCCATGCTGCAGCTGTTTTGTGGTTGTGGCACGAATGGGTCGGCTCGGCCGGGGTGGGACGACGCTCTCACAGAATACCAGCTTAAAATAGCAGCTTAATGCTGCTATGTTTCGTATGGTGAGTGTAGAGAACCGGAGACCCTTTTTACTGGAAACAAAGCATTCTATCTCAGTCCTCAGGGCTGGCAACGCTTCTGCATTTTGATTATTAATTGAAGATAAATATAGATGTCTATGGGCCACAGCATCCACTTACCATCATGGACTGTGTGCTCGTTTGTCACGGTTATTCTATAAAAAAAGTTTGGTAGTGGCGGTATAAGAATACCCACTAGTGGGTATCGTCTCGTGTCATAAGAGGTAATATGCGCAGAGTCTTCGTAATAATAACTAAAAAATAAAATACTGTGACTTCAACCCCTGCCTACTAAGCATGGGGATTATGGCGTACTTAATTATCAACATTGTGTTGTGTAATTGTATTCAAATATCATTTTTATTTTATACTAGTGATGCTCGCACGGGAGATTTCTGGATTTTGAGAACAGCGCCACCTACCGGCTTCAAATGTGAATCCTTTAGAGAGATTAACGGACGGCAATAGATTTTTACATTATACAGAGATTTATTTTATATTGCTACACCTACGTCAAATTCTCACCAATCTATGGGTTAACTGATAGAAAATGTGTCGTGGTTCGTGGCATTAAGTTTTTTAAATTAAAAAATTATGAAAAGATTTCGGAGGCACCTTATTCCGATCTAAAAATCCTTATTCCGAGTGTAAAAAAATTCAAAGGAAGAAAGTTGGAAGAAAAATAGATAAATAGATAGATAGAAAATTCTTTATTGCACTCAAACAAAACAATTTGGTACAAAGGCGAACTTAATGCCGAAAAGGTATTCTCTGCCAGCTAACCTTTTGTAGTGTGGTGAGAGCTATGGGTAGAGCCGCGAGAGAAAGAAAAACTAACTTATTTATTTACAAACACATACATACATACATATATATTTAAATAAAATATATACCAAACCAATAAAGCATACAATATAGTGTACGAAATTATAATAAACATAATCAATAAAATTAATCAAGTAATTTTAAATAATATGACTCAAGCTTACGTTTAAATGTATTTATTGAAGGAGCATCTTTTAAATCTCGTGGAAGGTTATTCCAAATTGTAATTGATGATACCGTAAAAATACATCATATCGTTTATTATCCTACACCCAAACTTATTATAATTTGTAAATATATATAATTTTCCACGTGGATTTAGACTTAATAAGTTTATTTCCTTTTTATACTTTTGATAAAATATATAGAATGAAAACATTTGATGATGATAATGTACATGTGAAAACCATAAGAATGATTTACGAGCTTTCAGTCGACAATAGGTAAACACTATACTATTTTTTTAGAAGATTAGGGTGATTAACGAGCACACAGTCTCCGGATGGTGAATAGCTACTGTGGCCCATAGACATCTACATCCATCCTCGATTTAGAATCAAAATACAGATGCGTTGTCACCCTTGAGGACTAATATGGAATGCCTCGTTTCCAGTTAAAAGGGTCTCCAGTTTTCAAGTCCACATTCACTATACGAAAAACATTAGTCTGCTATTTTACACTGGTATTCTGTGAGAGGGCGGTCCTTACCCGGTCGAGCCGACCCATTCGTGCTACAACAACAATATAGCTGCAGCGTGGCTTTAAAGGCTGAAGATTAAAGAAGAACATTATAATACTATTTCCTTACCTCACAAGTGTAATCAGCAGTATCATGTGCACTCAGGGCGTCGATTTGCAGGCTATAGTTGACGTGCATACGTATCCTGGGCGGGAGCAGGTGGTGCTGATCCAGGGTATCTCCCAGCAGCTCATCGTTCTTGTACCACCGGACGCGGACAATTGTTTCTGGAATAAATAAAAAGTGCAGCAGATAATTGCTGATGCATTTTTTATATTGTGTAATTTATATAAAAATACAATTATCATATATATACATAATCGTGTAATTGCTAGCGAAGGCATACAAAAATTATTATTTTGTAATTATAATAAAAACACTAACTACTAAACACTTGCGTTGACTTTAAAGTGCATCCATCATTTCCTGAGGCACACGTCATTCTGAGATAATACACGAAGCTCGGAAAAAAAATAGTGCTAAGTAAATTTAAAGGGATATTAAATTAGGCAAAATGGATGCTCCCGAAAATATCTCAAAACCTTATTACGAATCTTAAAGAAAACCTTAAAATGAAATGAAACTTAACTAATTTATATGCCTGATAAAAACCCATCATATATCACCCATCTAATACCATGTTACGTATCACAAAAACTTTAGAGAGTTTTGGTTTTAAAATTGTGAAATGGAAATCGATGCATTTAATAGTAATTTTTTAATTTGTAATAATTTATTAAAAACTTAAAATTGTAGTACATATAAAATCTTAGATGTGATAGCTATAAAATTAGGTAAAAAAACCCTAGTTAGGGTGACGTTCTGTTCTCCTTGCTAGACTAAGAAATAGCTTGTATTAAGGAGATTTAATGAATATCTATTGTTATATATTAGTTTTTTTTTCTTGTTTTTTTTTCTCGCCTGCCAAGCTTTGCAGTTATGCGTTTATCCTCCTCATGGGGTTATCTATGGGCAGGCCTATGTTCAGCTGGTATAATCTGTAATGTATGTAAATGGAAAGTTCTATTCGATTAGGAATTTAATTGAGCATGCCGTATATTCGTATATATTTTTCGTGTATAAACTATTTGAACGAGTATTTTTACTCAAGCGTATATCATACGTGGTAGAGCGGTAGAGCTACGCTACGCATAATATAGATGTATTATGGTTGCAACTCAAATCGGTCGGCTCGACCCGGGAAGGACCACACTCTCACTGGTATTCTACCTAGCGTGAAATAACTCAATGCTGCTGTGTTTCGTATCGTGAGTGTAAAGTCTAGAGAACCGCACATCCTTTTTACTGGAACCAAGGCATTTCATCTTAGCCCTCAGGGGCGACAACGCAACTGCATTTGGATTCCTAATCGAAGACAAATGTAGGTGTATACGGGCCACAGCATCCAGGTGAACTGTGTGCTCGTTTGTCATCTATGTCTATCTCGTGTGTCTATCTTCAGCTATTGAGACTTTGAGAGGTCGTAATTCAATCAATCAATTAAATACAAATAAAAAATAAATAAAAATCATTTATTTCGACCTTAAAGATCATATTTGTTAGTAACATATATAAGAAAAACACTAGTCTAATGTTAGTAAACTTAAGACTACCTTAATCTATATCTTATATCTAAGACAGCCCTGATTTGTCAGCACGTGCACCATACGGCAGTGGTTCAGGTACTGACAATCCAGCCTGTCAGCAAATGCCCTCAGGACGCCACTGGGACCATCCCTAACCCTGCGTACCAGGGATGTGCACCGCTTGCGCATGATCGAGTGAAAACAATCAACATTCGCATCAGCGAACATACCCGACGCACTGCAGAATCGAGGCAGTCCCATCAGCATCCTAAAAGCATTATTGTACTGAACGCGCAGAGCATTGTACTGATTCTGCGTAAAATCGATCCACAGGCTGCTTGTGTAAAATGAAGAACAGTAAGCTCTAAATAGCGTTACTTTAACCGGGGTGGAACAACGAACAAACCTGCGAGCTATCATGTTCGCCCTAACCGACAATGCTCTGCGCTCTCTCTCGATATCAGCATCGTCTTTCAAGTCAAAGGTTACCACATGACCTAGATATTTAAATTGCGACACCCTTTTTTAACGGCGTACCATATAATTTAATGGGTGGTACAATTGATGGTAATGCTTTTCCCTTGGCCCGAAAGACCATACATTCGCTTTTTTTCACATTATAAATTAAGCCGTGACTGTGAGCATAGTTTTCACATATGCTCAACAGTTTCGCTAAGCCACAAACAGAAGCACTCAGCAACACCATGTCGTCAGCGTAACTGATGTTGCTAAGACATACTCCGTCAATGTGACAACCGACATGTGTGCTACTGAGCTCCTCTATGAGGGCATTGACATACAGGTTGAAGAGCTTAGGGGAGGTTAGGCCTCCCTGTCTAACTCCGCACTCCAACCTATATGGCTGCGAATAAGATTCGGACCATCGCACAACATTGACCTGGTTACGGTACCAATATTTGAAGATTCTGGTTGCTTCTTCAGGCAGTCCAGTATTTTTCAATTTCTGCCATAGGATATCATAATTTACCAGGTCAAAAGCCTTACTAAGGTCGAGAAAACAGGCATATACAGGTGTACGCCTAACCGAATAGTACCTAACAGTCTGCTTCAGACATAATATGGCCGACTCAGTTGACAAACCTGGCCTGAAACCAAACTGATTATCATGTAAGGTTATATATTTATCAAGGTGGACGCTAAGCAAACTGTCAAGAACCTTCGCAACAACCGTGGCTAGTGAGATAGGCCTGTAATTGGATTTATCAGACACATCCCCCGTTCTGTTCTTCACAATTGGCACCACCACAGTTTTCATCAGCGCTGAAGGCAAGTACGAGTGTGCCATGCACAAGTTATAAAACATGGCAAGCACTCCGGGCAGATGAGGACCCGCATACCTTAGGTGTTCAATACTCAGACCGTCATGGCCAGGAGACTTGCCACGGGACATAGAGGCTATAGCATTATTGACATCCATTGCTGTAAATCGGATTCCAATCTCCTGACCACCCGTACATTCATCTCTTCCAAGCTGTGATGGTCGCAACGGTGACGTCACCGTAAAATGGTCCCTGAACATGTCCGCTATGAGACTATGGTCATTAATACCCTCAACGCTCACTGGTAAGCCAGGTCTACCATTTAATTTATTGGTAGATTTCCAAAAGTTCTTAAAGTCATTGTTCGAATGCTGCGTAGCCGCAATGTCCATTTTAATTTGCTCGCTGTGGTTTTGACACCAGCGTAAGCGTGACTTAAATAAATTGCGACTACGCCGCATTTCCTCATAAACTTCTCCACTATCCGGTTTACCCCACCAAACCCACATTAAAAATTTAGATCTGGCCTCCCCGTGAGCATCGCGCACATATTTGTTCCACCCAACCACCGGCCGCCTCCCGCCACGCAATCTTACAGTGTTGGATTCCGTTGCGGCCACCGTCAAAATATCTATAATTTCGCCATATAATTTATCGATACGTAAATTGTGATCGGTAGACTCGCAAGTAAAATCACTACAAGAACGAAACTCTTCGGGGAAATCGATTGATCTCAACTTTTCATTACATAATTTCGTATATAATAAAATATCTTCCGGTTTTCTATTTCCCCACAGAATCTCGTTTACAACTTTATGTGTACTCGTATACTTCGGTTTAACAATATCTAAATTACATTTAATTATTAAAGGGTAATGGTCAGACCACAACACATCGTACTTTACATGAACATTCAAAATAGACGATGCCGCAGATTTCGTGGTTATACAGTGATCTAGCCACCTTTTCGACCCGTGGGCTTCACTAACAAATGTGTATGTGTCCGCGCTCACTCCTAAAAACTGTACATCTATACATGACCAGTTTTGTTCGTCACAGAAACACGTCAACTCTGCATAAAAGCGTTCGTTTGGATGCGCATTAAAGTCGCCGAGTATATAGACACATTCTATATTACTATTATCAATAATAGCACTCACCGAGCTGAGGCAGTCCGTAAACTCCGTGAGATTTACCACTGTATCCGTCGGCATATATACGCTAAACACTAGGATGGACCTATCACCCAGCACTATTTTTATCGCACATATACGCGGATTATCACAGTTTATTACTGACACATTTTGAAAGACACTTTTATTCCACAATAACGCTACACCTCCGTAAGGTCGACCGCAGACCATCCCCGCCGCCGTGTCTATCGCAGAGGTGCCCGTACTGCCGAAACGGTCATCAATCTCGCTAAGAAACTGAATATCGTGTGGAAATAACCACGTTTCTTGAAGCGCAATAACATCCGATGACTGACACAACTGCCTCACATGCTCAGCTGATCGTTTTATACTTTTACAATTGAAACTGACAAAAGTACACGAGAGGATTTTATCCATTACCATTTGGGGTCGGGCCGTTCACGGTATTTACTGTACCGTTCGTTCCAGAGCTGTGGTTTCGCTTGAAGTTGACGAAGCGCCTAAAGATCACACCTTGGGGCCAAAGCGTTTTATCTAAGAAAATATCTATTTTCCGCTCTGATACAAAAAATTTGTAAGCGTTGTAGTCCTTGTTTTCTTTACTAAAGGAAATCTTTTCGAGTGTTATCTTTTCTCTCGTTTTATTGTAAACGTATTGCACAATATCGTTTTCCGTCGTGTCCCGATGAACCATCGTTATAAACATGGGCACTTTACGATCTGCCGCTTTAAAATTACTTTCTTCGTTGGACACACCCGCGGCTCCCGTATAACGGTATCTCCTTTGTTTCTGGCCTCGTCTCACCACTCTCCACTTCCCCTCCGCGCTCGCTACCTCGGCGAAAGACCGCGCAATTGCACCCGCTGCATGTTTCGACGCTGCCCCCGAGCTGGCTGGCGGGCTGGCTCGTGGCTCGGTCGGCGCGGGCGTCGGCGATGATGCAATACTAGGCTGACCCGCACCCGCTACCGCACCGATTACTTGTTCCGTGACGCGCGCTCCTTCAACAGCTGAGACACCGCTGCCGACCGTTCCTTGAGATTTATAATTACCCTCCATAAAATTTATACATCTGTAATTTAGATTATAATCTTTCGGAGATGACGGTTCCTCATTAAGATGTTGACTGTGATTCGTAATAATCGTATCATCGAATTGCGACAATCCAATCGGACCACTGTCTCGATATGCTCCTCTTCGCATGTT